TCTGACTAAGAGTAGAAATTCATTTTTTAATCGAAGTCTTCCTTGGCGTTGCCGTCCTGACTGCTTAAGGTCCCTATTAATTAGCCACACCCCGAATGGATATTGGCTTCGAAGTTTGGTTATTGCATCTAACCAATTCACAAAGTTGAACAACTACAAAATATTCAAGCTTTGTGCCGTGATTGGTTCCCACATTCCTCATGACGTTACATTTCGTTTAGTCCGACCCTATCTTTGTTCAAATTTTCCTCTGAACTCGACTTCACTTCCTTCTCAAGAGCTCAGCTTCCACTGAGGGTCTTTCTTTCATGAAAAGGGGCTGTTTTCTTCAGGCAGGAAAGGAGTGATGAGGGATGCATCAATTGGACTCTTTCACAGGGTAAACGTACTCAACGACATCTTCTCCCATAGCATGTGCATCGATATCTACAATAGGAACTAAAAATAACAAATCGATCAATGACATTTGATGAACACCAAGCCGTCTTATAAGACCAGCAGGAAAGCGAGCACGTGACCTTTCAGCGGGAACAGGGATGGCTAAATGTGAAGAAGATTAACGAGAATAGTAAATAACTACAAAATAGCGCTAAAACTTATAAGGAAAAAAAAACATCCAGGAAACAACAATTAAGCGAAAGGGAAGAAAGATGGTTAGGATGGTAGGGATTGACACGGATTATAATTGACTACAAAAAATTAGGTCGGTAAGATAGAAAAACACAACGAAGAAATAATCAAGCCTAACGGAGCTAGTATGGCTGAGGATGAAGAATATTAAATCGGATTGTACATGACTACAACATATTAGTTCGGTGAGAAAGAAAAACACCAAAGAGGCAATACTCAAGCACAAAGTAGCTAGGATAGCTTGGGATTAAGAAGATTAAATCGGATTGTAAATGATTTCAAAATTTTACTTCGGTGAGAAAGAGAAACACCAAAGAGACAATAGTCAAGCCAAATGGAGCAAGGATGGCTCAGGATGGATGTCGAACTTGAAAAAAAGATTTTAAACGTTGTTCACACTTACTTGTCTGAGGTTCGAGGGGCGATCTAGATCGGGACCTACTTCTGTGTTTTCTAAAACAATTGCAAGGGTAGCAAAGATTAGATACCAAATAAAAGTTTATTTCGTGGTGGAGGGCTTTTAGATCTGGCGTCGTAAGACACCGAAGCTAAGATCACAACAGCCAATCCGAGCGAAGGAATTTCACAAGTAGCCGATGGGAAGTCGCAGTCAAAACAAGCAAAAGCGCGGGAAAACGAAAGGGACAAGTCGCGACTGGTGTTAGTTTTCCATCAGATTGAATTAGAGACTGACATGAGTTTTCTGGACCGATCGCAGAGCGTGGTAAAGCAACTCCAACCGGAAACTGCTCTGAATTCCATTGGTGTCGACAGAGTAGGAAGGAACAGTCACTCTTATGTGGCTGATTTTCAACTGCAGACAAAAATACCTACACTCTAGAAGCTGGCTAATTGATAAATGCGTGATAAATACAACCTGACATTGCTTTGGCTTTACTCCGCCCAACCGATCAGAAAAGAAACCAAAATCAAATTCGACTTTGTCATATGCGTTTTCCCGCGATTTGCGGGGATTGGTTGTTTGAAGTTGATTGATTCTCATTGATTGCTTGGATTCTTTGCCTTCGTTTTAATTGGTCGTTGCTTTTCTTTGGGCTAAGTTTTACGACACTCAATTAAAATGAGTTTTGTAAGCTCAGAGGAACAACAATACAAAATAAAACAATTTAACCAAAAAAAAAAACAAAAAGGAAATCTCACCTCCGCGGTGGAGAGCTAGATACACTTCTTCGCCTTCCTGTGAACATAAATAAGAAGAGAAGTCACAAGGTAATGCAGCGTGGTTTGAGTATTTTTTATAAGCAAAAAACTTGTGATACAGTTCATTAATTTTTAAGAGATGGTTCCAGCTTTAAAGTGAAGTTATCAAGTGGGCGAAGTGCTAACGCTTCACCACTCAAAAGGACATTTCTAAATACTTTCAAGCGATTCTGTTTCTTGTGCAATACAAGATAGCTTCAGCTTTTATATCTGGATTAAACCCTGTGTGAACCATTAAAATGAAAGCTACAGAGAAGGACTTTCAGGAAGAGCTGTTCACCACAGTCAACACATTCTGTTTACCTCTTGGGGAAGGCGACCGACTTGTGTCGTATCTGTCCCTATCTCTGCAAAACAAAAACATTGACAAAATAATGGTTCAAGTTGATAGAATAAGCAAGCTTCTCTATTGTCAAAGTCAGATCACACAATCAAGCAAGCGGGATCACACAAATAATCAACGATCCTATTGGAAGAACTGAGGTCAGAATGAAATGGTCAAAACAGAAACTGTTTATTTTTTCTATGACATCACGTGCTCATACCGTTCACGCCACTTCCGCTGCATCTCGCGAAGGTCATCCTCGCGTTCCTGAAACGAAAAAAAAAAGATTTCTTTTCTTATCTCACCTCCTTCCTATCCTTTATATTTTTTAAAATTATTACACACTATTCATGAACTCACAAGTAGCCCTCGTGATTCACGTTACACATAGTACTAAACAAAAAAATATGTACAAAAGTAGTTGTAGAGGGATGGTAAATTTAGAACTTGGTTATAAACTAGAGGTTCTATTGTCTCGTCGCGCGTGTGGAACAAGTAGAATAAAGAGAAAAAAACAACAATATAAATTTGCTATTTACGCGCATGACGCTTTCAACATTGTTAATCAAAGCAGTATGCAGGACACGTCACATATAAACCTTATAATGACCTGGCTCACTGTGGAGTCTCTGTTGCTCGATGACAGTGCATTAGAGACCGGAAACAGACTGAGGTTCGACAGTGCATTAGAGACCGGAAACAGACTGATGTTCAATTCCTCATGGGGACTCAGAATCTTTTCCTAGTCTCACGCTCGTAGGAAAACGAAAAACATCTTCCCTTCTTTGTACAATGTTTGTCACCCATAAAACTTGCTTAGAAAATTCCCATTCCTTTCCGATGAAGTCCTACAGGCTACAAGGACTGGCATTAATAGCTTAAAAAGCAAAACATTTCTTGCTATGCAGTGCAGTATTTCGGTTCTTGCCAAAAAATAGCACAAACTTATTTTATAGATACCTTAACGGATACGATATTCTGTGTACTTTCACAGTAATCGAAAATATTACTGAACAAGTTTTGAGAGAAACAAGTATATATGATTAACTTCATAATTGCTTGTGACGGGTCCGACTGCTTTTAACGAGCAGTAACAATGGATGATATTCCGTTAACAAAAGCAAATTTTACCCGTCTCTCCTGTTCTTTTACTTCTCGTTTTCGTCTATCCTCTTTTCTGTCTGATTTCACTACAATTAGCAAAAACAATCAAAATATCTTCAAAAATTCAAACTTGTTCTCGTCTTATACCTAGCTGGAGTGATATGATTGGTCAATACTTCATAACATTAATGGTCACAGCTACTTGCCCCAAATTCTTCCAGAATTGCTTTACCTTTCCAACTTGGAACCACTCGCACAGTTTCCCGCGCTTTCCACCAGATACCAAATTTTGCCTTGCTTCGCGATAGTATCATTTCCCGCCCCTTGCACCGGTTGCAAAATTTTGCCGCGTTCTGCAAATACGTAATTTCCCGAGCTTCCCACCAGTTACAAAATTTGATTGACGTGATGTGAGGGTTCACAGGGAAAATTCCTTGCACCATGCAAAATTTCCTTCGCCTTGCAATAACATAATTGCCTGCGCTTTTCATCGGTCTTATGATGGTTTGCAGGTTTTGCCGCATGCACTTGGTGATCATTGTACGCTAAAATGCTCATTGCGACTTGCCGAATGAAAACATAATTTTTTTTAATAAGCAGTAATCATAAACAGCAGTGATTAATAGTCTTACGTTGATTGTTGAGCATCATTTGCATTCGTTTTTTCATCTTTTCTTGGGCACTCAACTGTAAACAAACAAAAGTTATGAAACAAATATCAAACCGCTTAAAGAAAGCCCGTTGACTCTCAGATCGCTGAGTTGATTCTCAGTAGGAAAACAAATTTTCCGTACAAAATAAAAATAGAGAATGAAAAGGACAACTTTGGTTTGAAAACTCGCAATTTACCTTTTCCTTGTTGCCTAAGGATGGTGTTGCTTTGTTTTTCAACAACCTATGGGATATGAATATGGCCAAGATTATATACTAAAGATTTGTAACTAAAAAGTGAGGACGCTGATTGAGGTAACTACAAAGTCTTTGCAAACAGCATCGGTCGCATGACTAAGCAGGGCTCGACACTAACTTTTCAACTTACTAGGCTAGTGACAACTTAGATGTTACAAGCAATTCAGTTTGTTTACTAGCCAAGCTAGCTAGTGGAAATCAAAAACCATTAGCCAAAACTGAATTTCTACTAGTCTGTGGCTGGTTGGCTACGGTTAGTGTCGAGCTCTACTGAGAAAAAAAATTTGAAGAGAACGAAATGAATTCGACAAACTGGTTTAGTCGGCCGTGGTTCCTCTTCCCTGGATTTTCCATTTCGATAAAGAGTGTCTTTCGATTGAGTGTCGTAAAAAGAAAACCAAATCCAGCCAATCAGAATGAACGAAGATTTCACAAGAGCCAATGAGAACTGAAAGCAAATAAACGCGTACACCGCCTAAGGCGCGGGAAAACGGCAGTAATCAAGCCGAGATAGGTCTTCAAATTTGATTGGTTGAGAGAATGGCACGAGTTTCCTGAGGCAATCAGAGAGCAGAGAAAGAAAATCCAACGCAATTCAGGTTTACTCCTACTATGAAAAAAAATTTAAGGATCACGAAACCAACTCACCCCAGTCCCTTGGACGGCTGCTTTTTTCGTTCCTTGTTGTCACGGTCACTGTCACGCTCTCGCCGATCACGATCACGTTCATGACTTCGGCTTCTACTGCGACTCTGGTGTCTATGCCTGTCACGCCCACGAGCACCGTGACGATCTCTGTCACGTGAGCGGCTTCTGTCACGTGAACGACTTCTCTCGCGTGACCTACTTTTCTCGCGGGATCTGTCACGCGATCTACCATGATAACGCCGTCGATCGCGGTCGCGTGACCGTGAGCGTGTTCTACTTCTCTGTTTCTTGTGTGACTGCGACCTGTCACGCTCCTTCGATTTCTTTCGTTCAGAAGTACTAATGGTTTTAATTTACATAACACAGTACCATTACACACACACAAAAGAAATAGCATAACAAGAGGAAATAGTTGCAAATTTAACGGATAGTAAAAATTTACATTTTAACATACCAAATTTGGTGTTTGAAGAGTACGTATTGACAAGGCGCGGGGTTGGGCAATCACAAGGAGACCACAAGCACGAGGCAGGTGCAGGAAAGAAGAAAAAAACACAACACAATTAGCCAAAAGAGAATAGGTAAAACAGAAATATATTCATTCGTTTTTAAAGTCCCTGTATCTTGAAAAATTCCGCTTGGTTTTCCAAACAAGATCACGTAGAATGTGTCATCTTAACTAACTCGGTAAAACTGATAGGCAGATAAAGGCAATTTCTTTTTAACAATAACCGATTTATGCCCTTTAGAATTCCCTTTGGTCTATTCCCCACTGAAACTTTCAAAACCCTTTGGTGGCTCTGAGCCACATGTAAATAATTTTTTTACACAGCTTTTACGAAAAGATGACTCCAGTAAACAGTTCTTAGTTCAATAGCACATTGAAAGTTACCAAATTCCCTATTAAGTAACAAGCATACAAAGTTAAAATTAAGGGTGCTACTGAGAGGCTAAAAAGGTTGCCATGGTAATCTTATAAGAAGAAAAATGATTGCACACTGTTGAGAAATAACTGAGAATATTTTTGGAAACCCATCTACTAAACCATTTTGAGCCACCTTGATCTCTAATCATCTGGATAATGATATATTTCTGGATGCTGGTCCTAAACCACAATGTCGCATGAAAATTTTGCGATGCCGAAGTTCTTTTTGTGGATCGGTGATTGGCTTTAATTTTTTTGCCGCTCGAGATAAACGAAATCTTTTTGCTGGGAAGACAGCAAACAATAAAAGGCCTACCCCTTCAAGCCACTCCCAAGGAGATTTTCATCAGAATAGAGGCAGCATCTTTTTGCGGCGTTTCCAACATTTTGCAGGAATTTTCTTCAATGGCAATTTTGTTAAACCGCTAAATTCACAAAATTTTCATACTACACTGCTACGGCGAAGATCATTTCATTGCTTGTGTACCACGGACAAAATATACCCAGTTATGATGT